AAGCCCGTACTGCCGCCTCCATCAAAAACAATTATATCAATGGCAATCTCACGAAATACCATAACGAAATGAAACTTTCATGAAATACCGTTCTCTACTATTTAGGGCTTCCATACAATAAACGTGTTTTGTATGTACGTTTGTATTGATAACGTACGCGCGAGTCCGACTCGCTCTTGGCCGAATTTAAATATCAATTGTGTTATTAATTAAATAATAATGTTAAAATCTGTGGTTGTGTGGTTAAATTTTTACTTTTAAAACTTTTTAAAAAATTAAATAAGAGTGGTGCCATCTCTTTTCCTCATGTTTTTTTTTTATAATATGTGGCCAAAAAAGTGTAAAGCGGTATATTTTTGAAACCATCGCGTGGAGCTCTTTAATTTGATACCCCACACATTAGGTTTCAGAAAAATATCTTACAAGTGCCACTCATTAATCTTAAGTCCGCCGCCATCTTCAAACTTATATATTGCGGAAAGTAATAAAGATATTGACTTAAATTTTTTTTTGTAAAACGCAAAGTCAAATTCTTTATATTTTTATATCATAAAAACATACCCTTTCCATATGATTTATCATTATTTTTCAGCAAAAACTCAAAAAAAGTTAAAAATATATATTAAAAAATCGAATTTGTGCACATTTGTAATAATTTTTCGTAACTTTTATATTTTTTTATATTGCTTCATGTAATTAGCTTTCATTTGACATACTAAACATCAAAATCGGTTAACCCGTTGGACTTGTATAATTTTTTAAAGCTTTTTATGTAAAAGTGGCGCCATCTCTGTTCCCAATGGAGCAAACTTCGACTGCTGCGACTGAAATTGCTTATTTTGGTCCCTACTATAACTGTACCAAGCGGTTTGCTTTTAGACAAAAATGCAGCTTTTTGGCCAAATATCGCCATAAGGTCTAAGGCTATATATTTAATTAATCATGCAAGCTCAATAAGTATAATCATCATCATCTTCCTGCCCTTATCCCAATTATTTGGGGTCGGCGCAACACGTTTCGTTGAACACAAAATCGTGTTGCAAAAGGATTTGGCTGAATTTTACGACCGGCCACCTACCAGACGTCAACCCTCCTTGGGAATGCTTTTGTGGTGGATTAACTGCCACCATACGGTTGGCCCTGGCCTGGCTGTTGGGGTCGGGTTTATCCCTCGGTCGCCTCTTACGAGCCCCACGGGACTCTTCCCGAGGAGAGAGGCGACAAGCTCAATAAGTATAATATTAATCTCAAAAACGAATATCATTTTCAGAACACATCTGGGTGCGACAATACAAACCCTGATGCAGTACAGACAGCCCCCTGTCTGTGCTGCATCAGGGTGTGTAAATCAAAACATGCAACAAACCCTGATGCAGCACAGACAACTTAGGAATATTTAGCCAAGTCCAAAGTCGCAAAATGTTATAAGTCGCAAAATGTCCAAAGTCGCAAAATGTCCAAAGTCGCAAAATGTCCAAAGTCGCAAAATGTCCAAAGTCGCAAAATATCCAAAGTCGCAAAATGTCCTAAGTCGCAAAATGTCCAAAGTCGCAAAATGTCCGAAGTCGCAAAATGTCCAAAGTCGCAAAATGTCCAAAGACGCAAAATGTCCAAAGTCGCAAAATGTCCAAAGTCGCAAAATGTCCAATGTCGCAAAATGTCCAATGTCGCAAAATGTCCAAAGTCGCAAAATGTCCAAAGTCGCAAAATGTCCAAAGTCGCAAAATGTCCAAAGTCGCAAAATGTCCTAAGTCGCAAAATGTCCTAAGTCGCAAAATGTCCTAAGTCGCAAAATGTCCAAAGTCGCAAAATGTCCAAAGTCGCAAAATGTCCAAAGTCGCAAAATGTCCAAAGTCGCAAAATGTGTATCAAACAGGGAACTGATTTTCGGTTTAAGCCTATCAAAATTCGTTTTTCAATGAGAGTACGAAAATACAGCTGTTTTTGCTCTACGATGCTCCGTTTTCGAGATAATTGCACTTATAGTTTGCATTCGTTTTTTATATTATAAATCGCTACTTTATTGAGATATGATGCTACAGAGGCGTAGGGCGCTACGGAGGCGTTGGACTTTATGCACGTGTCGGACGATACGGAGGCGTCGGACGCTACGGAGGCGACAGACGCTATGAAAACGTCGGACTTTATGGAAACATTGAACGCTGTAGATGATCGGGGATTTCATCAGACGCTATGGACGCTTTAGGCACTATGGAGGCGTCGGACGCTATGAAGGCGTTGGGCGCTATGTGAGACAGGGTAAGTCGTGCGATGATTGTGTTCCGAATAAAGGACTGATTTAAGGTTTCGCTTAATCAAACAAAAAAGTTTCAATAAGAGTACGAAAAAAGAGCTGTTTTTGCTGTACGACGCTCCGTTTCCGAGATAATTGCACTTTTAGGTTGCATTCGTTTTTTATATTAGAAATCGTTACTTTGTTGAGATATGATGCTACGCAGGCGTTGGACGCTACGGAGGCGTTAGACGTTATGGACGTGTCGGGCGATACAGAGGCGTCGGGCGCTACGGAGGCGATGGACGCTATGGAAACGTCAGTCTTTATGGAGACATTGAACTCTGTAGAGGATAGGGATTGAACTCTGTAGAGACGCTATGATTGTAAACCGAATATGGCCCTGATTTGTTTTCTAAGATTATCAAACAAACGATCATCAATGTTTCCATGAAATCCGACGTTTTCATAGCGTCGGTCGCTTCCGTAGCGTCCGACGCCTCCGTATCGTCCGACATGTCCATAACGTCCAACGCCTCCGTAGCGTCCAACGCCTGCGTAGCATCATATCTCAACAAAGTAACGATTTCTAATATGAAAAACGAATGCAAACTAAAAGTGCAATGATCTCGAAAACGGAGAGTCGTAGAGCAAAAATAGCTCTATTTTCGTACTCTTATTGAAACTTTTTTGTTTGATTATCTGAAACTTAAAATCTGTCCCTTATTCGGAACACAATCATCGCACGACTTACCCTGTCTCACATAGCGTCCAACGCCTTCATAGCGTCCGACGCCTCCATAGTGCCTAAAGCCTCCATAGCGTCTGATGAAAACCCCGATCATCTACAGCGTTCAATGTTTCCATAAAGTCCGACGTTTCCATAGCGTCTATCGCCTCCGTAGCGTCCGACGCCTCCGTATCGTCCGACACGTGCATAAAGTCCATCGCCTCCGTAGCGTCCTACGCCTCTGTAGCATCATATCTCAATAAAGTAGCGATTTCTAATATGAAAAAATAATGCAAACTAAAAGTCCATTTATCTCGATAACAGAACGTCGTAGAGCAAAAATAACAAAATTTTCGTACTTTGTTATCACAGCCTACCATTTGGTTCCTATTTTTCAGAGCGCATGCTTATTTCCTTACGCATTCTCATTTCTACATATGCGCATATTATTTTCAGTGTGCGCATATTAATTTCGATGCGCATGTTCATTTCGATGCGCATTATATTTCCATGCGCATACTTATTTTCATGCGCATGCCTATTTCAAAGCGCATGCTCCTTTCGATGCGCATGCTTATTTTCATGCGCATGCCTATTTCAGTGCGCATGCTTATTTCGATGCGCATGCTTAATTTCATGCGCGTTCTTATTTCAGTGCGTATGCTCATTTCCATGCGCATACTTATTTTTACTCGCATGCCTATTTCAGTGCGCATGCTCATTTTGATGCGCGTGCCTATGTCAGTGCGCATGCACATTTTCATGCGCATGCCTGTGTCAGTGCGCATGCTCAATTCGATGCGCATGCTTAATTTTATGCGCTTGCTTATTTCAGTGCGCATGCTCATTTCCATGCGCATGCTTATTTTCATGCGCATGCCTATTTCAGTGCGCATGCTCATTTTGATGCCCATGCTTATTTCCATGCGCATGCCTATGTCAGTGCGCATGCTCATTTCGATGCGCATGCTTATTTTCAGGCGCATGCCTATTTCAGTGCGCATGCTCATTTTGATGCGCATGCTCATTTTCATGCGCATGCCTATGTCAGTGCGCATGCTCATTTCGATGCGCATGCTTAATTTCATGCGCGTGCTTATTTCAGTGCGCTTGCTCATTTCCATGCGCATACTTATTTTCATACGCATGCCTATTTCAGTGCGCATGCTCATTTTCATGCGCACGCCTATGTCAGTGCGCATCCTCAGTTTCATGCGCATGCCTATGTTAGTGCGCATGCTCATTTCGATGCGCATGCTTATTTTCATGCGCATGCCTATGTCAGTGCGCATGCTCCTTTCCACACGCATGCTCGTTATCATGCGCATGCTCGTTACCATGCGCATGCTCGTTTCCATGCGCATGCTCGTTTCCATGCGCATGTTCATTTCCATAAGCATTGGTATCCATTTTCATGCTCATCCTCATTTTCATGCTCATAATTAATATAATTGTAAGGAGAAATGGTACCAGTGCTCTGTGTTGCATCAGGGTTTGTACGTCTGAACGCTGTACAAACCCTGATGCAACACAGAGTATGGGTGTCTGTGTTGCATCAGGGTATGTATTTACGCCATCTGGGTAGCTAAAATCAATAATTACGACAGCTTTCCGCCGGCTTGTTTTATATGGAAATTTGATGGAAATCAATTCCATAGGCCTTTCGTTCCTGTTTCATCCTGCTATCTGATATGTTTGCACTTTGCAGTAAACTTTGAAATATACTATTTCAAGTAGTAGTAGATAAGATTTGCAAAGGTCTGCGAAGTACCTTTTGCCTTCACCAGGCCCTTACCATAGCCTGCTCTACAAGGCACGGGGACATGGTGATTGCACAATTATTATTATTAAACGAGGCTAGTCCTTGGTGCAGCACCACTGTAGGTACTGTACTGACAGTAACTACAGTGGCTGTGGAAAGTGGAGCATCGGAGTGCACCTAGCAAGCTACGAGCCTAGTACATTCTCTCAAGATACTTCTTTAGCTTATTGGGGGTTTTTATCACAGATAGTTTTTATGAATTTGAAAAAATTTATAGCGTCGACCGGGAATCGAACCGGGGCCGGTGGGCTACCGTCTCACTGCTCTGCCACTCAGGAAAGCTATCGACGCACCGGTTGACCCTTGCCAAGTTTTGAATCCTGAAGCGACGAGTATTTATCTGCAGCGATATACATATTTTCGAATTTCTTATTTTCATTTACATTTTTAGTTTATACTACCTGTACCAACCAACTGTACCTGTACTGTAACCAACCCGCCTGCCAAGCGTGGTGAGTATGGCAAAAACCCCCCTAATAGGGGGAGGTCCATGTTCAGCAGTGGACTTTATTGTGGCTGTTATAATAATGATGACCCACTCGAAGATGATGATGATTTAGTTCTTATTATTTTTAAGAACGGGACATTCTGTCAGAATCGGTTGCATAGTGCATAATATTCAGATCTGATTGTGCTAAATGTCGCTAAGTCCTACCACAACACAACTCGTATGATACAGGATGTATCTACAAAAGTTTGAATCCTTAAAACCACGATCTATCTATCCTTATGTCTAATAGCAATTGAATAGAAGTAGGTACCTATCCTCAGTAAATATCCTCAGTGGGCTTCTTCTTCTTCTTCTTCAAGTGGGACACCAAGTCGTCCAACGACCCGATGAACCATAGTGTCAGTGGGCTTTTAATGTTATTTCTATTTCAATTTATTTCTTTTAATTTTCTCTAACTACATCAAAAAATTTCACTTGTCTTCTCGCGCACGAAATAAGTCTATCTACGGTACGCATCTTAAGCCTTGAGCTGTACAATTTTTTCGTATTTCATACCCATGCTCCAATTCACCAGATACATACATCATTAAGATCTTGCTAAAGATCTCTGTCGCCTGGCGAGTAAGCAGTGTGGGAACTGACCGCCGCTCCCAGCCCTTCCAATCCGCTGATATTTACGAGTCGCGCCGACAACCACCGATTGTGTGCGCCTGCGCAGCCTGGCACAGTGCAAAAATGGGCTTCACTTGCGGTCAGCAGTGTGGAAACTTCATACAAACGCTCGAAACAGACGCGCGACGCAGCTTACAAGAATACTGGCCCAGTCTCACCCGAGCGAAATGCCTCCCGAATGGTCGTGGGAAGAGAATAAGGTGTTTTCCCTTAGTTATAATAAAATAACCTTTGTTACTCACACACAGGGATAATGCAGTTTATAATCGGTGAAAGATACTCGTATTTTAAAGTTATCTCAATTTTATATTATTATAACCGAAAGTGCAATCCTTGCGATTCAAATTCAACAGAAACAAGTCGAGTTTCTTTACTGTTAAATCTTTATAATGTGAGTTCTGTGAGCCTGGCGAGGCGAGCGATGAAGTAACGGCCAATAAATTGAATCGAATACTCCAGATAAGCAGCAATGTTTCTTAATCTGTGCTAATATGGTATGCAAGTCAAAGAGATTATTAAATACCTATACAACAACTAAGTAAGTATACTAAGCTCCGGTTCGAGTCCCGGTCGATGCATAACATTTGTTCAATTTCTTATTTTCATTTATAATTATAAAGGTATATATAACGTATGGATACGTTAGGTATTTAAGAAATAAGTTCAAAAACAAATAGAAATGTGTTTATACACATTTTGTAATTCTTACTGATAGTCAATGGTGATTTGATATCTTATGAATTAGCTTGTTTTTTATAGGGAAGGCTTGTATGGGAACGTATATTTTTTTGCGTAGAGCAAAGCCCTATAGGTAGGCGTATTCTATACATCTACTTAAGCCAATAAAAACTTTTTACCAAAAAATATCACCGCCGAAAACTGAAAAGCATAAAATAATAAGTATTGTTAGTATAGGTACCTACCTAAGATATATTTTTGGAAATATTACCTACAATATTGGAACTTAGTAATTCTGAGTCGGCGCCGATAAATTATACAAATTAATTAACACGCTTCATTGGCATGACGCCGACTCAAAATTACTAAGTTCCAATATTGTAGGTAATATTTCCAAAAATATATCTTAGGTAGGTACCTATACTAACAATACTTATTATTTTATGCTTTTCAGTTTTCGGCGGTGATATTTTTTGGTAAAAAGTTTTTATTTTATCATTTTTAGTGGCTAATTTTTAAGTTCATTTACTTTCAAAATAGCAAACTGCCCGACGCCCCGACCTACTTTACTGTTTCTAAAGAGTTTCAGGCGCACTAAGAAACTACATGAAATACTTACAGATACCATTACCTATAAAAGTAACCTCCTTTTTTGGTGGTCATTTTGACAGATGTTTAGCAGAGAGTTAACGAGCAGACCTCAGTCGTGTAGTAAAGTAAACACAAGTACATTATGCTTCAAATGTGTCGCACAATATGACGAGTTTATTGAATTCTCATAGATCCTTCTATCAGATCCTGACCTGACGACTATGGGACCACCTGGACAGTGCACCCTTTCAAACAAAAAAAGTTTTTTTCAAATTGGTCCAACCGTCTCTGAGTAATCGGGGAACATACATAAAAAAAAATAAAAGTTCGGGATGAATTGAGAACCTCCTCCGTTTTTTTTTCGTCGGTTAAAAACGCCCGGTAGCCGGATTCAACACCGTGTAGGGAGGGGGGGAGGGGGGGTTAAAGTACAGTCCTCCCGTCGCTCAGAAAAAAAAAATCTGTTGGATTTTTTTGAACCTTTGGGACAAGTTTGGTGTCATTTTCAGGTAACTAGATGATGCTCGATTCATTCCCTATACCAGTTTTTTAGGGTTCCTTAGCAAAATAAGTCGCAATACTTAAAATAATAAATTTTTAGTAGTTACAAAATGTAAACAAACCAGCATATTTTCATATTTTTGTATGCAACTTGCTTTATAAAAAATACTGTCTGAAAGCCCATTTAATGCAGATTATTTGAACATTAACATTATTTATATTTTCAACTATTATCTGCGTTAAAAAATTTAATCCTACACGTACCTAACTGATTCCTGCGGGCGGGGCGCTGGTTTCGCTCGGTTTTCTGTTGGGAAATAGTTTAAGATTTTGAAGTAAATCAACACTATTTAGTATGAATGATTAAAACAGGTCCACTCGAGTCGAAATCGACTGATAGGAAGCTTCAAATCTGCGACAAGTAGGAGTAGGAGGGTTTCAAAGTACCGAGGCCTCGGCGCTCAGAAATAAAAATGTGCTGGTATCGTTTTAACCTTTGAGACAAGTTTGGTATCGTTTTCAGGTTACTAGATGACGTCCAATTAATTCCCCATACCAGATTTGTAGTTTTTATAATTTGTGATTTCGATTGCTTCTCGCACTAAACGAGGTATATAGTGACGTTCCGTTGACAGTACCTGCGGGTTATGTAGTTCAATCCAGTGATTAGTTTCCGCTTGGTTTAGGTGTTCTGCTATGGCTGGCATCGTTGTTTTTACAGCTCTGATATGTTCCTTCATGCGGTCGACTATTGTTCTTTTGGTCTGACCAATGTAAGAACTCCCACAGCTGCAATTAACTTTGTAGACGCCGGGAGTTTGAAGAGGAAGCTAATCTTTAGGCGATTGTAGTAGCTTTCCAATTTTGTTAAAGGGAGTGAAAACAGTTTTTATGGCAAACTTTCCTAATAATCTGCCTATTTTATCCGTCACTCCCTTTACATAAGGCAAAAAATGCTGGCTGTCGTTGCGCTTCTTCTGCTTTCCTCTTTTTTGTTTTCTTTTTAGTCTCGCAAGCTTTGACATTATAACCGTTCCACTGTAAGACCGTCTTGACATGATTCAGCTCTTTAGCTAGGTGGTCCGAATCACACAAATCGTGAGCCCTATCAACCAACAATCTAACAACAAAATCCAGATGCCGTGGATGATGGTGTGACGTAGAATGCAAATACTTGTCGGTATGCGTTGGTTTTCTGTAGACCGAATGACTTCAAGATCCATCTTCTTTGACCTCAACTAACACATCTAAGAAGGCGAGCAATTTTTGGTCTTCGATCTCACAGGTAAATTTTAATTTTGAGTGAATGTTATCCAAAAATGCCAAGTAGTCCTTTACCTCTTCCTCTTTTCCTCCTATTATACAAAAAACGTCATCTACATACATTTTCCATAATTTGACAGTTGATGGGGCGGATAGGATGGCCTCTATGTGTTCCATCCACTCCATCAATCTGTAGGTAGTATCTACCATTGTACAAAAAGTAGCTCGTGCTACGAAATAGTGAGTGACAATAGTAGTGGTTCGAGTAACTGAGTAGAACGCAGTCGACGAATCCGAAAGAGGGTAGACAGATATGTTTGCCCTTAGAAAGATCATGGTATAATAAGATACTCCGCCTGGTATTTCTTTCCGAGACTCGTGAACCACGTGACCAACACAAGTTTACGTCATCATGCTTGTGGGTTACCAGAATTACCCACTCTTATGATGTTTTTTGTAAGTCATTTATGATACTGTTAACTAATAAATACAATTGAAGTGTTGTTGTAAAGTTAAAATTAATACACACGTAAATCTAAATTATAAAATTATTAAGAAATATTTTAACCCATTGTTCTGAGATTGAATTTACCCCATAACGTATTTTATTGAAATAAAGTGGCAATACTAAGTGAGGTTGACTTGTGTTTCTCTGGGAAGGAAAGACCATGTTTTATTAAACTATGAGAAACATGACATCACTCGCCGAGCCAGTCGACTCGTGACCATGGAGCGTGCAACCGCTCCGAAATATCGAGGTAAACAAAAACCTAATCACGGTAATAATCCCGTTTTAAACAATAATTTAAATGTTATGTTTTTTTCGTTTATTAATTAATAAATATAACAAATTACACTAATAGGTATTATGATGGCGAAAATTAGTGACTGTTAGCATAACTGGGCCCTACCAGTTGTAATATAAGCGGTTTTGGAACTCAATCGCCTGACAATTTGTACTAATCGAAATACCGCATATTCAGTAGATACGCGCCATGCACCGCGCCGGTTTCGCTCAGGTTTGAATAGGGCCTTAATGGGATGGGCTAAGAAAACGAACGGAGCGCTCGTTCATGGCGTCTTTTTTTGTTAATAGTGCTTGTTTTTCAGGTTTTTTGTTTACTCCCACGCTGCA